CTTCTATAGTCAGCCCTTCAACCCGAGAAAGCATTATCTGGCCTGAGCAGCACCTCTTAACAATCAGAATAGAGGTGGGGTGGGCCCCACCTCTATNATTGAATCATTTTATCAAAGCATTGGGCTTCTCATGTATAGATTCTCAATAAATCTTTTCTGACTTAATGGAACTGTTGAGGTCTCTGGCACACCCTTCAGAGGCTAGCAGCTCATGCACTCAAATGGAGCTCACCATTTATCTTGGAGCTGCAGACATGCACAGGCAGTCTCACACTCTGTACTATAATGCTTGTAGTAATGAGAGACCAGGAAAGACTCCACCAACAACCCTGCAGCTGTATAAATACTGAAGCTCATTTTCACTTGTCAGAACTGGCCAACAATCTCTTCTTTGCTGAACCTGAAGAAAAATGCTGAACAAAAGCATTCTCACTTCCCTGATCCATCACATGGATAAATGTTCTTTTGCCTGAAGTCCATTTAAGAAAAAAAAAATGATGCCTCTATCCCTCTACCCCTCAAAACAGCAGCATTTCTAAGGGGTAGCTAAGTAAGAAATGGTAATGATAATCCTCACACTCATGATATGTCGCTTCAGTCAGAATGGCATCACACACCATGGAAACCAAGTGTGAATGCTTGCTAGCATGCCTGCCCAAGGAAATTGGATTTGAAGCAAAAATCAAGTCACCCAGAAAAACACATGGCCCCCAATCCTAGGCTTACTGCTGCTCCCGGCAGGCTGAGCCCTCTTATTGGTAAGCCCAGCTTGCTAGCCCGAAGCATGGTCTTTGCACCAGGGCCCATACTTCCTTCCCCAGGAGTTGAAATTATTATAATTATAGTCATAAAATCTCTCAGGACTAATTAGGGCACCATCTTGAGTTGATTACTCCTACCTGCGGGGTAAGAGGGCTCATGTACTGAGTTTTATTTAGTCCATAAATTGAAGCTCAACACATTCAATCTTGTAGAACAATTAGAAATAATGAAGGGAAAATTGTAAAATTGCACACATGCTTCTATGGTGCTCCATTTGATACTTAATATGCTCAAAAGTACAGCTATTACTTATGGAGAGCCCCACACTGCAGGCAGCCTGCCCTCCTTAATGGGTTGCAAGCCTTTACAGCTACACCCTCTCCAAGTTCTTTCCACCTAAGCAGAAGAGAGGGGTCTCTGATTCTCAATGAGAAAAGGGCCTGTGGGCCCCTGTCCTTGTTATTGCTGGTATTTTTTATATATACCAGTGGTGCCAAAAAATGTATACACATTTTAAGAGTTGTTATCCTAAAATGTATATGTATTTTGGGGGGACCCTCTATATACATACTTGTGTCTCTAGTTCTCTGCGATGTCAGTAAAAAGGTGTAGGGTCTATAGAACAAAGCTGGAAGATGGGAAGTCACAGAGGCTTGGGAATCACAATTCAAAGGGCCAGGCCACTGGGTGGAGTTCCTTGGCCAACGATGTTCCCACCTTATAAAAGTATACGCAGCCATCATAATCAAATCCTAGGCTAGGTGGGGGCCTTATGTGAACTGGCCTTGCAAACTGTGCAAACTTGATACATGACTCTATACTGTAAGCACACTGTCCTGGAGCTCAGATAACCCAGATATCTA